ACCAGAGGATGTACACTGGTACAGATAGGAAGTGGAAACACAGGGAATCCAGGGTGGATGATCCCTTCAGGACCAGTGGTGAGAACGGAGCTACCAGGAGGGTGGGGTTGAAAGGGGGAACCAATTACAGAGATCTACATATAACCCCCTCCCTAGGGGACAGACAACAGAAAAGTGGGTGAAGGGAGATGTCGGACAGTGTAAGATATGACAAAATAATGATTTGTAAATTATCAAGGGTTCATGAGGGAGGTGGGAGTGGGGAGGGAGGGGGAAAAATGAGGAGCTGATGGCAAGGCTTAAGTGGAGAGCAAATGCTTTGAGAATGATGAGAGCAATGAATCTATAAATGTGCTTTACACCATTGATGTATCTATGTATGTATGTATGGATTGTGATAAATAGTTGTATGAGCCCCCAATAAAATGATTTTTTTAAAAAAGATAAATCATTTGGGATTATATTTGATTGAGGAGGAGGATGTGGAGGACAGGCCAAATTTCTCCTCTGGACTGCGCAGGCCCTCCTGACTGAGCTCAGGGTTGGTAGTGAATCCCCACAGACCTCAGGACACTGCACTTCTCCCTGGCACTAGCTGCTTGTACTCCAAGGGGCTTGCTGACTATCGCCACGAAGTCTAGACTACTGAAGGTATTGCAGTGGGGTAGGCTCAGTCCTTCCCCAGACTGAGAAGCAAATTCCTCACCTCAGGAGCTAAGACATAATTATTGGTAATCCCAAACAGGGTTTCTTCTGGACAGATACTAGGGGTGGGGGTTTGGGTGGAGAGGAGTCCCACATCCTGCAAAGACCAGCCTTTGCCCTGCTCCAGGCTGACATAGCAGACCTACAGTCTGGTTGGTGAGTGCTACTTCTTAATTAAATGATTCGTGTCTAACCCCACTGGAGGGAGCCCTGGTGGCACAGTGGTTACACACTGGGCTACAGCTAGAAGCCAGGCACCAGCTGTTGCTCAAGAGAAAGGTGAGGCCTTCTACTCCCGTAAACCCATGGGGGCCGTTCCACCCTGTCCTAAAGGTCACGGTGAGTGACCCTATAGTGACGCGATGGCAGGGAGTTTGAGAATCATGCTCCAGAAATCCAACTGTTCGCTCTGCCCCAAGTGCAAGGCACCTGCCATCTCATCTCTAGGGACCTCGGACCTTCAGTGGTGTAGCCAAGATAAAAGCTCAATTTCTGCTCAGACCATTCTGGCCCCTCAAGGGGATTCTCTGAGCCAGATATTCTGTCAAAACCCACACATACTTCCACTCAATGTGGAAGGGTCAAAGGACTCCACCCCACCCTGCCCCAAGAAATCTGCTGACTCAGCAACCCAGTCATCTTCCGAGAATGGCCTCTGTGCTGCCAGCCCACCCTCCACCTGGATCCCGCTGGGCCCACTTACCGTAATCACAGGTAGGCTGAGCACTGGTGTCTGAATATGTCGACTGCAAAGTGGTTTCAGATCCCTGGACAAAGCCTAAACACATGCAGAGTGTTAAATCTCTGGAATGCCACCCCAGACCACCAACTCCCAATGTGGACTGGCTGACAGACCCTTCTCCTTGTGGAGAGCCACCAAAACATTGGACTCGATATTCAAAGGAGCCAGAACTATCACCACTGTGATAGTTCAATCCTGACTCCTGGTGACCCCGTGTGCTTCAGAGCAGAACTAGACTTTATAATAGAGTTTTCTTGGCTGTAATCTTTACAGAAGCCGATCTCTAGACCTTTCTTCCATGGCTCCCCTGGGTAAGTCCAAACCCCCAACCATTATCCATCTTTCCAAAATACAACACTACCAATGGAAAGGCATGCTAGTTTTAACTTGCTACACCTATACCAACCAACCAAGGCACACCCACTGCGTCCAAGGTGATTCCAACTCACGCTGATCCGTCGTGTTAGAAGAATAGAAATGGTGCCTTGTGGGGGTTGTCTTGGCTGTAATCTTTGCAGAAGCAATTCATCAGGCCCTTTTCCCACCATGTTACCAGTGGGTTTGAATCACCAACCTTCAGGTTAACAGCAAATCACAAAACCACTTACACCACGAGCAACCTTCTTAGTATATCAGCAATTATGTATTTGTTAGATACTGCGAGTCCTCCATTTTGAATCTATTATCATTTCATTAAGGTCAATAGTTCTACAAATTACTTCGAGGTGAACCACCTCTAGTTCAAACAAGCATGGAGGTTAATTCTGAAAAGATAGTATGGTAAATCATGTTCCCTTCCTCTCCCCTAAATCTGAAACAGTAATGGTTATTTTTTGCCCTTTTTCCCCATGGTGAATTTTCACATATTATATTCTGCCACTCACTGTCATCCGGTTGATTGTGACTCATAACGACCCTATAGGACAGAGAGATCTGCCCTTATAGATTTCTGAGATATAACTCTTTACTGATATAGAGAGCCCTGTCTTTCTCCCTTGGAGGAGCTGGGAGTTTAGAACTGCTGATCTTGCAGTTAGCAGCCCAAAACGTAACCACGGCACCACCCGGGCTCTGCATATTACATTACGTCTTAGAATTATTTGGGTTTAACGTGTTTGTAAGGAAAAACAAATACTATATACAATGTAATAAAGATATTTCCTGTTTTCTCAACTCCCAAACTAGTTCTCATCTTAAAGAGAATTTGGATACCAGGAAGGAAAATGTGAACTTCTAATCATGAACTGTTGCTAAGCCAAGCAAACCCAAACGGCACTCCCTGCCACCATAGGAACCCTACAGGATAGAGTTGACCTGTGCCTTAGGGTTTGCCAGACGAGGGTCAATGTTTACAGGGGCAGGGCAGCCTCAGCTTTCTCTCAGAGCAGCTGGTGGGCTCAACCTGCTGTCCTCGAGGTCAGCAGACTGACACTTACCCCCTGCACCACTGAGGCCTTTTCAACCAAGGTAGTAATTACCTCACGTGCTCAAAAACTTCCTGTCAGCTAGTCACTGACATTTGCTTTAATACCTCATTTTAAAAAATTTACTCTCAGCACTGCAATGCTGGCTAAGGCCCCACCAGAGCCAACTAAGGATCTGAAAACTGAAGCCAGAGTCTCCTTTGTTATTGTCTTCTCTGGGGGCAAAGCATCCACCTTCCAAGACCAGGGACAATGATGCAGGCCACACTGACAGTGCCTGTTCCCAGCTGGTACAGCAGCTTCGTAGGCATCATGCCACCTCGTCCCCATGAGGACACTTAGTCTGGAATCCAAAAACCCCCAAAAGTCTGAAACTAGGAGCTTCCCACAAATGGGGTGGGGGTGGGAGGGCAAACCTCATTTGCTGGCAACTGACTTGTGAGGACATTTACCACCCTCTATGTCTCTCTGGCTATGAGCTGGGCTGTTACCTCTAGGTCAGCATTTCAAAACCACCAGCTACTCTGCAGGAGAGACAGAGGTTTCTACTCCCATAGTTACAGTCTCAGAAACTCACAGGGCAATTCTACCCTGTCCTACAGGGTAACTAAGGGTCGGCATCGGCTCAGTGGCAATGAGTTTGGTTTGGGTTTATGTCTCCCACTGGGTGCAGAAATAATGTGTCTAATTACAAGGTGCTGCTCCAAACTCCATGGGGAGTGGGGGAGGGGCAACAGGATGATAACACACGAGAGTGGGGTGGAGGGGGGCGTGGAGTGGCAAGGGTCGATCTTAAATGAGAACTCCAAAACACATCCAGCTCCAAGGGCCTCAAAACCAGAGGCTGGGGATTCGCACACTATCTTTTCTTTCTAGAAAAGGGAACTGGGCACTGGGAAGGAAAAAAATGGGAGAGTATATAAAACCTCATGGGACTGCTAACCACAAGGTCCGAAGTTCAAAACCACCAGCTGCTCTAGAAAGATGAGGTCCTCTGTTCCCATAGAATTAGTCTGGGAAACCCGTCGGGGCAGTTCTACCAGCCTGTGGGGTGGCTATGAGTTGGAATGGACTGCACGGCAGTGAGGTTCTGGTCATGAAAGGGAGCACCCATCAGACTGGGCTCACTGCAGGGTCCCCAAACCTTCTGAGAGGCCAAATTCTCAGCACTGATGATTAATCACTGCTCCCAAGAAATACGAAGCACTTTCTTTCAAGAGTTCACCTGTGTGGACAGATTCACATCTAAGAGGTAATCGACACCCACCTCTGCACCTCTCCACAGTTTCCTCCATTACCTTTGGGAAACCCATGTGTTCAGCAATAGGCCTGTCAGCAAAATGCACCCTGGATTTGAGGGATGTGCTCTGGAAGCTGCACTGGGAGCTGACCACCCTCTGAGGGAGGCCGGGACAGAGAAAGGAAAAGGTCTGGGTCTCTTCAGGAAGTCTAACCAGTCCGAGCCCATTTCAACTCATGGTGCTCTGTGAGGTGTTTAGAAGCTGACAGGCCTTTCCTCTTTAGTGCTTCTGGTGAACTACAAGTTCCATCCAACCTTTCAGGTAGCAGCAGAGCCTATCCATAGCCTATTCCGCCCAGGCCCGGAGTCTTTCCTGGAAAACAAGAACGCCCACCCATCAAACCTTCGGAGCTCAGTGGCCAGCACTGCCTAATGCTGGGCTCCCTGTGCAAACAGGCTGCTCCGAGGTGCTGTTTTCCTTATCCCTGTGCGGCTCCCATTACAAATGAGGCTGGTGCCGGCTCTTCTTGTGTAGCTCTGGAGACACAGTATGACAAACCAGTAGCTGGCCCTGGAGAGTGAAAGGTCAGACCACAATTTGTGATGGCTTCCCAGGACGGTCCCTCTCTTTGGCCAGCAAGAACGCCGCTCCACCTTACTATTTTCCTTTGGGGGAAGGAAAAGGGGGGTGGGGTGGTTGTGATTCTTTGAAGGACAACCTCATCTGTACTACCTGAGCCCAGAGTCAGGCGGCCTCCAGTGTTTCTTGCCTCCAACACTACCTGCACACCCCCCCCCCCCTAACAATTTTATATGGAGCAGGATAAACGCTATAGAGCACAGTGGGAATGACTCAGGGTGGCTTCAACCTTGCTCCCCTGGGGGAGTGAAGCTGGTACCATGTTGAGACCACTCTAGCAGCCCAATGGGTGAGCAGTCCTCAGAAGAGGAGCCACCAGCCAGCACTGATGTGTCAGCTGATGAGTGGAGCCACCTGTGTGGGTCGTCCAGCCCGTCAAGCCCTCCAATGCCATCCTGACAGACATCTGACATAATAATGGTGTGGGGTGGCACCTGACCTCCTCCAATTTCAAAAGAGGGAAGGATAATCAAACCTGTAACGAGCCCAAGGTTGACTCCTATGAGCAGAGGTCATATCTGATTTCCAGCATCAAACTTGTAACTACCATTTCTGACACCAACTGTCCCTCCTGTGGCACGCTCTACTTCTCTGCTGGGTTTGGAACCCCTTGTAATGGCCGCACAAATTACCCATATTAGAAGGTTTATTAGGGAAGTAACCGGTTAGAAATTTAAGACCAGGAAGGGTCAAGACACAGTTCTTTGGTCAGGACGACCTCTTTTTCTCAGGTGAAGCCACAGGCACATCTCTGGTCCTCATGACCCACTGACTTCTGTCTTGCAAGCTCTTAGCTCTGCCAATAAAGACCTCGGAGCCCTCTGTTCTAGCTCCAGCTCTACGGGTCAGCAAGCCAACCCCCTTGAGCTTAGGGGCACCTCACTCCACCAGCTAGCCTCCTGCCTGAAGGTACTTGGCTCTGTCTCTCCGTGGGCCGGGAAGCCCAGCATTCATTCACTCTCCTGCCGCTTCTGCTTCTCTACCGAATTTCTCACCACCTCTGGGGTCACAGCAGTCTCTTGGATCAAGGAGGTCCAGAGGAGGGGCTTTGGGGTCCAAAGAGCACACTATACTCTTGATTGCGGTGGGATCCCTTTTTCTCTACTTCTGAAAGGATTCATTATAAACTAAGCAGGACGGCAAAACTGACCAACTCCTATGCCGAGTTCCATACATCCTATCTGTGTCATCAACAAGCTCGGTGTGCCATAAACCTTCCCTCTTACAGTCAGTCCTACCCATAGGAATTACAAAGTCTACACATATGGCTAGAGGGACCATAGCAATGAGGGCACTTTAATGCACATCATAAATGCAACTTCATGCAAGACCCTCAAGTCAGAACCCAGCTGAACCACTCCTGCCTTCCTGACCAACAGAAATATGTGATTTGGGTTGTTACATAGTAGTGAGCCCTGGTGTTGTAGTGGGTTATGTGTTGGATTGCTAACCTCAAGATGAGCAGTTCAAAACCACCAGCCATTCCAGGAGAGACAGATGAAGCGTTTAGTCCTGTGAAGATTTTAGAGCCTTGGAAACCCTAGGGGAAGTTCTCCTCTGTCCTATAGGGTCACTCTTGAGTCAGAACTGACTGGATGGCAACGAGTTTATTACACAGTAGTAAATGGCATAGTAAACTGTACATCAGTGCTCCTATTCAGGGACTCAAAGGTGTCCTGGTGGTGCTGTGGGTTAGGTGCTGGGCAGCTACCCGAAAGGTCGGCGCTTCAAACTCACCAGCTGCTCCACGGCAGAAAGATGCGGCTGTCTGCTCCCCTGAAGATTTAGAATCTTAGGATGGTTGAGTCAGAACCGACTCAATGGCAGTGGGTTTTTGGATACAAAGACTCAGCGTTTTAGACCTTTGTCTGAAGGCCTCATTCTAGGTTTTTCTGTCTTGTTTTTCCATTGCTCCCATTTCCTCCTCATTGACAGAGGTGGAGCTTCCTTTCCCAAGGGCAGGCTGTGGCCTCACCTTATAGAAAGCAATCTGGCCTTTGTTCTTGGGTCCTGCTAGGCCATCAACACCTGAGGGATGGGGGCTGAGTGGACCAAGAGGGACCCCCGAGGGACCCCCTAAGAGGCCAATGGATGAGGTAATTTATCATGGTTCCATTGGATAGGCTGGTAAGGGCCCAGAGGCTCAGAAAACGCTTACTGCTTGAGAAGCGCACACCAGAAGGAACTGCGCCCCTCTCTGTGACACGGGAGCTCCATGCTGCAAGCCCTCCCCAACCTCACCAGTGTCTATTTGTGTCCTTTGTGGCCATCAGTAATTCTGCAGCGGTAACTCCGTGCACATGCCATGACTTCTGCGAGGCCCTCCAGGAAAGCCTGTTGAGCAGCCTGGACAACGCTGCCCTGCTACATGTGTGGGCGAGTGGCTAGAGCCCAAGAAACGCCACATGGGAAGCTGATCTGGACGACGCAGCGTCTGACTTGGGTGCTCCAACCAAGCTCCTGATAAGTGGATCAGGGAAAGTATGGAGAAATGGGAAGGGAGGACTGACTCCGTGTCCCTGCTGGGAACTGGATTCATGCTGATCCTAACTAGGTGGGACATAGCCACTGTGCCGCCCCCACCCTCTTTGTTCCGTGAGTCAACTCTCAGTGAGGTAACTTGAGCTGAATGTGCAGGAGTGAACAAATGATAAGACCCATTTTATCCCTTTCTATGCTTACAAACTGGAATATCTGCCTTAGGACCTCCAAAAACCTTTAGAGGGAAATGCTTGTCTGGACTGTGACTTAAAATTCCTTGGGCTTCAGTCATCTGCTTAAGAGGATAATTCACAATATAAAGCCACTGTTGGTTTCAGTTGGCCATAATCAAGCAAAAAGTAATCATGAGCTCCTTCATGGGGCTACCACAGTGCCCACCCCGAGTGGGGATTAGAGGCCTACGGAACGGAAGGTGAAATTCAGCATGGGTCATTAGTGGCCACGTGACCTCGGTCACAAGTTGCTGGGCCTTTGTAGCTAAGTTTCCTCTCTCATAACAATAAGTAGTTACTACACAGCACCTAACCACTCATCTCAGGTTTCTTCTGCAGTCCTGGCCTTAAAAACCACAGAACTGGTTTCCATTCTCAGGAAAACTCAAGTCAGGATTACAAGCAACATGAGAAGCTCGTCACTATTGGCATTACCATTGTGGGGCAATGGGGAAGGGCTGTACTGTGTACTTCAGGGCATTTGGCAGCATCATGGGGTGCGAGTGGGTGGGGCAGCCACTCCAACACTCAGTTCCTAACTGCAAAAAGGTTGACAGTTCAAATCCACCTGTAGGTGCCTCAAATAAAAGCCTAATAAGCTACTTTCAAAAAATCAGTCACTGAAAACCCTGTAGTATAGTTCTCCTTTGACACACATGGGATCACCATGCGCCTCAGGCAACTTGACAGCAAATGGGCCCTACCCACTAGATGCCAGTAGCATCTCCACCCCCAGCTGTGACACCAAAGATGCCCCCAGATATTGTCAAATGTCTCTGGGGGCAGTAACACCCCTGGCTGAAAATTGCTGAGCTAGGAGGTAATTGCTAGAAAAACTGGGGCTCTTGCCAAGCTCCTTCTCTGGGAACGGGGGAAGGAGCGACGGGCACTACCCTTTTGTTCAATCCACTGCTGTGGGGTTGAGTTGAGTCTAATTCCTAAGGGCTCCATGCATATCACAGCAGAATTGGATTCGATGAGGTTGCAAAGGTTGATTTGGGGGAACTCGATCAACAGGTCTTTTCCCCAAGGCATCTCTGGGTGATCTCCAACCATGGGCCTTTGTGCCTAGGCCAGTGTTAAGTGGCCTGCAGTGGTGACTTGGAGGTCCAGGCCCCTGCTCAGCCCTGAAGACTCTCCTAGAATGAGGGTTACCAAGCAACCCACACCCTCTTAGGCCTTTAGTAACTCCACCTTGCGGGCCCACATCTGTGGATCCTGGGCATCTGTGGCTGCCAAGGCAAACCCACGTGGCCTCCTGGCTTCACCTAGGGATGCTTTACAATTGCTCAGGGCATCTGCAGCCCCTCACGGGTCTCCCCTGCCACCCTCCAATCCCATGGGCTGAGCAGCAAACAAGCCAAGCTCATCCCTACCCTTCTCTGTCAACAACTCCCCGGGTCAGATAATGCCTCTTCAAGGAGGTCACTAGTTTTGGAGGGGTTACCCAGAGATGCCTCAGGAAAAAGTCCAGGTGGTCTGCTTCCAAAAGATCAGCCAATGAGAAGCCTAGGGAACAGCTCTGCACACACGGGGCTCTGGGGGGTGGGGGGTCGAGCGGTGTAGCCCCGAGCTCAGTTGAATGCTTGTGGGCAAGGTCATCGTTTCAAACCCCCCGGCGGCGGCTCCAGGGGAGATGCCTGCTCCCGTGGAGACTCAGTCACAGAATCGCTATGTAAAGTCGTTAGAGAAGTTGGAATCGACTTGTTGGCAGTGGTGCTTTGATTCCAACCCACCCGGAGGCTGTTCCATGGGTCACAGGCAACGCGAAGCCCACAGAACACGCACGGGGGCGCCGTAAGTGGGCAACTGCTCCACAGCACCTTGACGTCGCCAATTCGGCAGGTGCTGAATATACCTGCGTGGACGCCAACCCCTCCCACCCCGTCCCGGCCACAACCAGACAGCCACCTGCCGCTCGGGCCCCTCACAGGCTCGGCGGGAGCGACAGAAGGTGCGGCGCTGCGGCCTTCTTCCGGAACACGACGCGGGGGTTGGCCTGGCAATGGCGACCGCGGGTCGGTTTTATGGGCTGAGCCCCTGAGAAGAAGCGGCGACTCGAGGCGGCGAGGCCGGGAGCCGGCGGTCAGAAACCTTAGGCGAGGCCGGGGGGCGGGAGGACAGACACACGACAAGAACAAAGGCCACAAGGGGCTGGGGGCTAGCACACGAGGCTGGAGCACAGAGAACCGAGGCGCCGGGGCGTGAGGGACGCGACCGGAGGCGACAGGCCCGCGGCGCCATTTTGTGGCCGCAAAGCGGGTAGAGGGGGGGAGTGGGGGGCGAATTGACGCGGCCTCTCCACGCCTCCATACCGGCCCCTACCCGGGACCTGCCACCCACCCCATCGGGACGCACCTGTGTAGCTCATGGCGGCGGCAAACACTGAGCTCACTCCTCAGGCACCTGATCCGCACGCCTGACGCCGCAACAGCGGCGACAATACCCCAGGCCCCTTCTACTCACAGCCCAGCCCCGCCTTCCGACCGCATTGGTGCGCGCTAGCCTCAAGCTTCTCATCTATTGGACACTTTCACTGTCTATCTAAAATATTTCTCATACCAAGGGCTGAAGACGGTGTCAATCTAAATAATCCCGCCTCATTCCCGCCCCTGTGATTTGAAACTCGCGGTGATTGGTCGAGATGAGACGAAGGGGGTGGGGCAGACTTCCAGGATTCTATGGGGAGGGGGGAGGGTGGGGGTAGTGCTGTAACTACGGAAAGGCCCGAAGCCCAAGCTTGGTCGAGTGGGAGAAGCGTTTGTGCGCTGGACGCCCGCCAGAGGGAGCCGGGCGCCGGTGTGGGACCAACTCAGGCCGCCGCTCTGCCACCCTTGTCGCGTACAAACCTGGGTGTGTTCCTTTTCTGGCCTTCAGCTCGGAAATGCGCATGGTGAATTCATGCAGGAACGTGAAAATTATACTTAAATCGTTTTTCAATTATAATTAAATAACTATAGCGCCAGACACGACGCTCGACCCACGTCAAACAAATGTGATCGTGTGTGTAAAGAAATCAGTTCAAGCCCCACTTAATTCACAATTTTTAAAAATAATCACTAAAAAAAATCAGTTCAAGATGAACATGATTAATGTAATCGATGTCACTACGTTGTACACGTGGAAAATGGCGACTTTGTGTTGCGTATATTTTTATTCATTGTAATGAACTTTTATGTAACCAGATTTGCATAGGAGTACAGTGTATGTCGTCTGTATGTCGTCTTGGCAGAAGTACAGCCAGAGTGCTCCTTAAAGGTGAGGGTGGGAGACTTTGTCGTCTCACATGCTTTCGACATGTTGTCAGGAGAGAGCTGGCCCCGGAGAAAGACATCATGCTTGGTACGGTCCAGTGGCCCTCAACAAGAGGGAAGGACACAGTGGCAGCAACAGTAGGCTCAAGCATAGGAACAATTGTGAAACTGGCACAGGACCGGCTGTGTTTCATTTCTTGTGCATAGGGACTCTCTGGGTCGGAATTGACTCGATGGCACCTAACCAGAACACCACTGTGTCTGTCGATCCCTTGGGTGGCACAAATGCTGGACAGTTACCCAGTAGATTGTCACTGCCATGGGCACCCCATAATTTCTGAGAACCACTTGGCAGACAAAAGGCAGCCGGGAGTGTGCACATTTTGGGAAATGCATCAGAATTAGTGTCTCTACCTTTTTTTTTTTTTGGTATCCTTCCATTTAAAAAAATTGTTTTTTTAATGTGCTGTGGTTGACTTGCTTTTTGCTGTGAAGGATCATGCATGTTTTGGGTACAATAAAATGATTTACTGTCGAGTCAGTTCCGTCTCATGGCAACCCCATCTATTTTCGAGTAGAGCGAGGGTTTTCACTGGCTGATTTCTTTGCAAGGCCTTTCTTCAGGGACCCCTCTGAGTGGACTTGAACCTTCACCTTCTCCATTAGCAGCCATCAAGTTCACTGGTTGCACCCCCTACCCAGGGACTTTTGGTGCAATAATGGCATTACGCATAATAAAAACACTGTTTTGAAATCCATACACATTAAAGAAACATGCTGAAACACTCATATCAGCAGCTGAATGCACCTACCGGTCAGGATCAGCTTCTCCATAATTGCGAGCGGAAAGGAAAGGGCAAGGAGGAGGAATAGGCGTCACACCTGCAGAGGCTGGTCATGAGATGGTAGCTGGAGAGTAGGTGCAGTGTGCTCGATGGCGTTCGTTTGGTTTCCCTTGCTATGGTCTTGTAACTCCCACCAGATGAATAGAAGGGATTCCACATATGAGGTGCTTATGGTCTACTAAGGAGATTGCATAACTTACTAATAATGCAATTAAGGTACAGAGTACCCTTAGAGGGGTGAGGCCATGCAAATAAGGTATATGAAACCCTAACAGGGGGATGGGTCAGTGTTTGCCTTCCCACAAGGCTTAAAATGAGCCATTCCAGAGGGGACCAGGGGGACCTCACCACTAAGAAGAGAGGGGAGTGGAACATTTCCTTTGGACTTCACTAACACCAAGAACAGACAGACACTGAGAACCTCCTAGACTCAGGAGGCAGAGCCAGAGACAGAACTGTACCATTGGCGAGGGTACCCAGTGATGAAAAAGTGCAGCAGCAGAGCCAGGAGACTCCTGTGAGACAGTGGACAGTGGGTTTCCTGGCCCATGCAGCAAGATTGTTGCAGCAGGTGTGCCAATCTACAGAGCAAGAGAGCTGAGCCCCTTCGGGCTGACTTCCTGGAAGAGTGAGTTTCTTCTGCTAGGCTTGCCAATGGAAAGAGCACAATGAGAGAGCTGAGTGCCTTTGGGCAGGGGACTTCCTGGCAGAGTAGGGTGTCTCTGAGCATTGGTTGGCAGAGATAGGCTTGCTGACTCACAGAATCAACAAATAAGAGGGCTGAGTGCCTTTAGACAGAGGCATGCTGATGGGGTAGTAAGGCAGTTACAGTGCAGACCCACAGAGCAAGAGAGCCAAGCACCTTCAGGCCAAGACTTACTGATTGAATAGGGTGTCCATGGCTTTTCTTAGTCAGGCGAAAGAGCTTTGTAACAGCTGCCTGAGCAGGGCAGAGGCTGGGCTGCCCTAAGAAGTGCAAGAGGCCTGAGGCACTGAGGGCTGAGAGGTCAAGAGCCAGGAAGAGGCCTGCTTATGGGCATGGATGATAAGCTGCTCTGACTGAAGAACTGTATCCTGCAATTGTTTCTGATCCTGTTACTTTCCTCATAAACCCCACAGTGGTGTCTGGGAAGAGGAGTCCTGGTAGTGTGGTGGTTATGCATTGATCTGTTAAGTTAACGTCTCAGGAACCCACAGGGGCAGGTCTACCCTGTCCTATATGGTCATTATAAGTCAGAAACCATTCAATGGCAGTGAGTTTAGTTCAGTTTAGCGTGTGTGTGTGTGTGTGTGTGTGTGTGTGTGTATGGTCTGTGTGTTCTGTGTCCATTGCAATGATGAATTACCAAAGCTGCGATGGGTGTTATCAGAATTGGTGAAAGGGTTGGGGGTGAAGATACGTCTGATCTCCACCTCATAGGCATCAGTCTTGAATTAATTCTCTGTCCACTTTGTGAAGTTAGTGGAGATCAGGTGCATCTACCATGCAATTCTTCTCAGTTGGTGGCCGAAGAGGGACTCATTGCAATGGTTTCACATTCATCGAGCTTGGGATTTTTTTCAGAGAAAGAACGAAAGAGATGGGAAGTGTAACTTTTTATTCTTAGATGGCTGTTTTGGTGGCTGTTACCCAGAATGACTGAAAGGAAAATCAGAGCTGAGTGGCATTGTAGGATAAGCAGTTGACTGCTAACCACATTGTTGCCGGTTCAAATCTTACCAGCCACTTCCCAAGAGAAAAATGAGGCTAACTGCTCCCCTAAAGATTTACAGCCTCAGAAACCCTTAGGAGCAGTTCGACTCTGTCTCATGGGATGGCTATGAGTTGGAATCCACTGGATGGATTTGGATATTTGGTTTATGCAATTGAGGAGGGAAAAACATCAAAAGCCAGGCTGGTTAAACAAAATGACTAATAGTTCCACCCAATCAGAGGCCCTAGACCAGTGATTCTCAACCTTCTTGATGCCGCAAACCTTTAATATGGTTCATGTGGTGGTGACCCCCCTACCATAAAATTATTTTCATTGCTACTTCATCACTGTCATTTTGCTACTGTTATGAATCGGGTGACCCCTGTGAAGAGGTTGTTAGACCCCCCAAAGGGCCCACGACCCACAGGTTGAGAACCACTGCCCTAGACCATGTGCATGTAAGTGGGAAGATAGTCCAGGTACAGAGAAGAGAAGATGAAACTACACCAACTCCCTGCTTATTAGTGATCTCATTATTTCAATATTTTGCATTTATGACCACAGTAAATAAATAAATATATATACATTGCATATTAACAGTATACATCTGGCAGTAATAAATGCTGAGTGAGGTTCCAGAGGCAAGTAATGCTGCCTGCAATGGTTAAAAGTACGAGCCGCCTTGGTTAGTTATGGCTAGCCATGATTCCCAGTGGTTTGGCAATTATGTAATGGAGTCATCCTTTGGTGGTGTAGTGGGTTATATATTCAGCTGCTAACCACAGGGTCAGTGGTTCAAACCTCTCAATCACTCAAAAAGAAAGATAAGCCTGTCTATTCCCATAAAGATGTAAAGTCTCAGAAACCCTACAGGAAGAGACTGGGTGGGGAGTGGGGGGGAATAAGGAGCTGATAGCATTGGTGACTGTATAACCCCACTCGATCGGATTGAACAACAGAATAGTATGTGAATGGATATACTGCATGTGTAAGATATGGCAAAAAATAAAAATAAATAAAATATAGGTTCCTGGGGGGTAGGGTGGGGGAGGGGATAAAGGGAAACATATCAAGGAGTTCAAGAAGAAAGAAAATGTTTTGAAACTGATTGTGGTAGCATTGTTCAACACTGCTTGATATGATCGAACTATGGAATGTTATGATATCTGTAAAGAGTTCCCAATAAAATGATTTTTTTTAAAAGTCTCCAAAATCCACAGGGCTGTTCTACTCTGTCCTATAAGATCAATAGGAGTAGGAATCCACTCCTTGGCAATGGGTTTGAGTTTCTGTTTGAGTAGTCATTGCCTCTTTTGTGATGTAGGGTCATCCTCCATTTTTGCATAATGCCGATGTTCACACGGCAACCTTGACTTGGGCATCTCAGGAGGAGTGGCTATGTTATTGTTAGGTATCATGAGGTCAGTTCTAACCTATAGTGATCCCATGCGGAACAGAATGAAACACTGCCCGGTCCTGTGAAATCCTCACAATGGTTCCCATGCTTAGGCCCATTGATACAGCCACTGTGTCAATCCACCCTGCTGAGGGCCTCCTTCTTTATGGCTGCCTCTCTGCTTTACCATCCATGATGTCCTTCTCCAGGGACTGGTCGCTCCTAATACCAAGTTCAAACTATGTGAGACAAAGTCTCACCAAGGAG